ATTTTTGACTTTTATGATAGGTAAATGAGGATGAAAACAAAGCGGGCTAAAAATATCTTTGACGTCATTTTGTAGGGCTCGATGAGTACTACAAATGAGAGTAAAATGAAAAAACTCGACTGAAGACTTTCTGGGCTAGAAGGACCGAAAGTTGGGTATTTTCAAAATGGGGTCTTCACAGATGGACGCCATACTCAAAGAGGTAGATAGGTATTGAGTTCATTCTTTTTCCATTAGATTAGGCAGCTCTTCAGCTTCGTTTTCATCTATAATAAAAGAACTCTTCATTTTGTTTTGCGTTCAGAAGAGATAAAATACTGAATGCCGTTTTCTCATTGTGCAGCTACTTCATGACAGTTGCCATGTCCCTGTGATCGTCGTAAGACAGGTTTTTAATAACAGTACTTGTACTATTCGAACTGCTCGTTCGTGTGGTATCTCCAACGGTGGTGTCAGCTGTTTAGATGCAGAGAAACCCACGATCAAAGTGGCGCTATTATAGGAAAGATTGAAACTTAGCACCCCTAAATCGCATGTAGAATATGACTTTTGCACGGGAGAGTTGGGGGCTTTTATGTAATTTTCTATGTCCTACACTAAAAGAGTATCGACATTTTTGAGGCTTTTATGTCATATAATGGTGGGCGGATCTGAATGGAAATACCCACCAATCCTCGCATCTTTTTTTCTGTGTCAGTTTTAAAAATTTCAACATTAATGGTACCTATTTGTCGTAAAATGTCTTTTTAACAAACAACACTGATAATTTTTAACGTATAAATCCATTTTGCTCTTGGTTGACTTGCCAACATTCGCGTGTTATATTAGCTCGTTTGTTTTTCAGAGTCTCTTCTGATTATGAGTTTAATATCAAAAATTCAGTACAGTTTATTTCATAAGTTCAAAGCATCCACAGTTAAAGTAAGCAAAAAGATCAAAACCTTCATACTATATCTATTGTTCTCCGTCGTTTTTCTCTTTTAGTACATCACACGTTCTCTAGCTGTACAAACACAAGAAAAACGGAATACTGAAGCAAAGCATTCTAACGGAGCACATGTAATGGTACCCTTTTCAAGTATATTTTGTGATTTACTCTATTTATTTATTTCAGGTTGCTTCAAATTATAAAATAATCGATCATACGTATGATGCTGTTGTCGTGGGAGCTGGTGGATCTGGATTACGAGCAGCATACGGATTATCAACAGCCGGTTTCAAAACAGCCGTAATTAGTAAACTGTTTCCAACACGAAGTCATACAGTTGCGGCACAAGTAAGAGAAAATGATTCAATTCTAGTACGAAAGATATATGCTAACTCATTTTATGCCCCTGGAATGATTAGTTTTAAAATGAAAGCAATACGTTGTTTCTCTTGTTTACTGCTAGGGTGGTATAAACGCAGCGCTCGGAAATATGGAACCAGATGATTGGCATTGGCACATGTATGATACAGTTAAAGGTTCAGATTGGTTAGGAGATCAAGATGCAATTCATTACATGGCAGAAGAAGCACCGAGAGCTATTGTCGAAGTAAGTATTTTCTAGACGTTTAGCTAACTTGTATTAACTTTCGCTGGTTTTTTCAGTTAGAAAATATCGGTATGCCATTTAGTCGTACTAAAGACGGTAAAATTTTACAACGTTCATTTGGTGGACAATCGTATAATTATGGTCGAGGTGGACAAGCCAGACGGACTTGTTGTGTTGCCGATAGAACGGGACATGCAATGTTACACACACTTTATGGTCAAGTAAGAATGAATCCTATATGATCTGATATTTTTATTAATTTAAGGAAGTCTCTATAAACATCTCGTTAAGCCTGTTAAACTATCTTTTGTTGATTATTAATTAAAGTGGTAGTTATTCTGTTTTCTCTGTTTTGTTTTAGTCGTTAAAATATTCTACAGATTATTTCATTGAATATTTTGCCCTTGACTTAATTATGAACAAAGATGAATGTGTGGGTGTTGTTGCAATGAATCTTGAAGACGGCACAATACATCGATTTCATGCCAATAATACCGTGTTAGCTACTGGGTAAGCTCAATAAATAGGATAGTATACAGGTTTACTCACACCTAATATAAAAGTTTGGAATGACAGATTTAAGAAACAAAATAAAAGTACGTTCAAACATTGGACGTGTTGTATATGTAAGATGTGAGAGTTGACTTTACTGTAGATTAAAAAGAAACGAAATAAAATATTTATTGTCTTCTAGAGGCTATGGTCGTGCTTATTTTTCATGTACGTCGGCTCATACGTGTACCGGTGATGGAAATGCTTTAGTAACAAGAGCAGGGTTAACAAATCAAGATATGGAATTTGTACAGTTTCATCCAACTGGTATGTGAAGTAATACTGTCGATTTATTGTCTGCAGTGCATCTAATTAATTAGGTATATATGGCGCTGGTTGTCTAATAACAGAAGGTAGTCGTGGTGAAGGTGGAATTTTGATAAATAAAAATGGAGAAAGATTTATGGAACGTTATGCACCTGTGGCTAAAGATTTAGCATCGAGAGATGTTGTATCACGGTCAATGACCGTTGAAATTAGAGAAGGAAGGTTCGTTTTTTTTCCTGGTTAATGGAATCCTCTGCATATCCCTTCTTTTTATTCCCTACTTTAGAGGTGTTGGACCAGAGGGTGATCACATCTATTTACAACTGAGTCATTTAGATCCAAAATTGTTACATGACCGTTTGCCAGGGATTAGTGAAACGGCACGCGTTTTTGCCGGTGTCGATGTTACCAAAGAGCCAATACCCGTTTTACCCACTGTTCACTATAATATGGGTGGAGCACCAACAAATTATAAAGGACAAGTACTACAAACAGATAAAGATGGAAAAGATCGTATTGTTAAAGGATTGTATGCTTGTGGAGAATGTGCATCAGCTAGTGTCCATGGAGCAAATCGATTAGGAGCAAATTCATTACTGGATTTAGTCGTATTCGGACGAGCATGTGCGTTGACCATAGCCGATGAACATAAACCAGGAGAAAAGTTTTCAGAGTTACCACAGGTGTAGTAAATTGGGATATCGAATAAATAAGGATTAACGAATATTTTTATTTTAGAATGCTGGTGAATCATCGTTAGCTAATTTAGATAAAGTAAGAGGTGCTGCAAATGGAACAATAACAACAGCACAATTAAGAATAAAAATGCAAAAAGTAAGTCCATCAAATAACTAACACGCTAAGAAATTCATGGTTACTTTTTATTTATTTTGCTGTTTTAGACTATGCAAAACCATGCTGCTGTGTTTCGTGATGGTACAACATTAAAAGAAGGATGCAACATAATGGATGATATATTTCAAGAACAGAAAGATCTGAAAGTAAGTAACTCACCGACTGTGTTCTTCTCTTAGGATATGTCCAGACATATGTTTTTTGTTATCTAGATTCATGATCGTGGTCTTATTTGGAACACCGATTTAGTTGAAACATTAGAATTGCAAAATTTATTATTATTAGCAGTACAAACCATCCACTCAGCTGAAGCAAGAAAAGAAAGTAGAGGAGCACATGCAAGAGAAGATTATCCAGTATGTATTTCTAGATCAACGTGTAACACTTTCTCCCGCAAAATACTTGATCTGGATAGAAACTGGCCGTTTTTCTTATCATCAGGAATTTGGTTTGTTAGCCATTGTTCACTTTCACAGGACTGTTATTAATGCCATTACATGAAAAGTATATTTTTACGTTTGTACTTTTAGCATCGAATTGATGAATATGATTACACTGATTTGGAAAAAAATCCTATTGCTAACCAAAAGAAAAAACCAATTGAGCAACATTGGAGAAAACATACGCTATGTTACACCGATCCACAAACCGGAAAAGTAAGTTGTGTTACTCTCTGTCACTGATTGGATCGCGGTTCGATAGTTAGTTGATCTATGAAAAAAAGCGACAAAACACAAAATTTGGTGACTTGCGATTGTTGACCTCTTTCTGATTCTTATTTTTATTACTGACATTGTTTATATTTTTCTGTTTAGACCACACTGACGTATCGTCCAGTTACTGATAAAACGTTAGACGAATCAAAATGTGCGAGTGTACCGCCGAAGCCAAGAGTTTACTAACAGACATCACGTCTTTTTTTTCCTAATTTATTATGTTAGTCTTGACATCAATGCATCTCACGCCTCTAAAATATAAGATCTGATTTCTTGATGATAGGCTTTTTCAAAACAATTTTTTTTAGTAGTATAATATCGGAAAAAAAGGATATAAGAGTGTAAATAACTCCTTTTCTACTCTCCGATATCATAATAGGATTAGTTAAGCGCGTTTATTCGACTGATTCTTACGCTTGATTGTTTTCTTGACAGTATTTTCTAGTAAAAATATATTAAAATACGAAATAATCAAAGGAAGTAATTTCTCAGTACAACGTTTCTGCTTAAACATATTTATATCTTTGCAAGAACATATTCATTTAAAAAGTAACTTGATCTGCTTTATCATATGGCGGCGTCAGACTGTTCAGCTTAAAGTTTATCATAGATTTGTAGCGACCCGATCTTTGAAGGCATACTTGAAATAAGTCTATGGACTGAATATTTGATCAGCATAAAAAATAATCTTCGAAAATGGTTTTCTAGAGAAGTCGAAATAGATCATCTGAGAATGTTCCTTCGTGTATCTTATTGTACTTCTAGTATATTCAGACTGCGAAAGAGTAAAAAATATTTTTTTATGCCTTAAAACAAGTAAAAACAGAAAAACATCCGTATTTTTCTATTAGATCATTGCAGTCGTTACCCATACTTCATTTGTTTATTAAACAGAATGTGATTTTTTTTGATTTTAATAGTATGTAAGTTTTATCGTAAACAAAAACTTGGAACTGACATCAAATTGACATAAAAACACAATATGCAGAAGTATATTTCATACATCAGGGGAAAAGAAATCATGAACTATTAGCTCGTACATATAAACATTTTATACAAAAAACTACAACAAAAATATTTGTTGACGTAGTTAAAAAGTGTTAATTTTTTGCTGCAGCAGCACGTTTAGGCTGCTTTTCTTCTTGATAATCGTGTGAGACATTAGCCTGCTGTTTTGATTCTTGTTGTTGCTGATTTGATGATGTTGTATTAACTTTAGGCTGTTGTTGTGTTTGCGTTGTTGAATTACTGCTATCATGTTCAATTTGTATAAATCTTTCTCTTGGTTCAGCTTTTGGTAAAGATGCCTCAATTGTCAATATACCATCATCAGTAAATTTCGATTGTAAATCATCGAGTTTTAAATCGGATGGCAATGAATATGATTGACTAAACTCACGCAATGAATATGTATTTTCATCCTAGAACAAAAGAATAAATACTTCTCTGCTTAGGAGGTTTGAAGAAAAAAAATACGTACTTTTTTTTCTGTTTTAGCTGTTATTGTTATCATGCCATTATTTGTTTTTATTTTAACTTCTTCTGGCTCGAAACCTTCCATATTAAATGCTAGACGAAATTTGCGTGTACCATCGCTTTCGGTAACAATCATATCATGTTGATCAAAACGATCTAAAATGAACAAAAAAAATCGAAATTACTTAGATTCAGCGAAAATGTTGTTTTTGCTTCCTCGCAGCCAGAAATTTTATTGACCGACAGATGTTTATGTTTTCCAATTGTCATTCAGGCAGTAGTACCGCACTGATTCTCTTTAAAATCCGTAGAAGTCTGCTGAATCATAGACAACAGATAGAACATTTAGATTTGAAATCTCTAGTGATCCTGTTTTCTTTTAGTTTACTTACTATTTTGGGTTGTTAAACTTCTACTTTTGTCAGACTGACTATCTTGTTCTCCTAGCCATCTACGATCAACTTGTTGTTGGATACGATCAAATTCACGTTCAAGATTTCGAAATATGTTTGCTGCACCACCAAAAAATGGATAAGAATTCCATCCAGATCGATCATAAAATGAACGTACCGCCGGAACTTTGGATAAGACCGGTGACGTATTAGTTATTAACAACGAAATTGTACGAGGTAATAATTGACGTAATGCCATTGCTTTATATCAGAGAAAATAGGCGTTTCAATAGTCCAAAATGGAGTATAATTGAATATTTTAGTTAGGATATTGTAATACATCTCCATACTAGTGCAATTATTTATATAGATATTTGAAATAGTGCAGTATCTCGGTGAATTTTCGAGAATATCCTCAATCTGTCGAGATAAAACTCTAAGTGAATCTCTTGTAAAAACTGATTAAAAAATGGCCAAAAAACTGAAAAAACTTTTTATTTTTTTTTATAAGAAAAGTTTACAGGTGAGTAATCGAAAACGTGAGCTTCACTTCAACGTGAGATGTCGCTGTAGATAGTGCTTTTCACTGCATATTTTAATCAAAAAGTATGCTTCAAGGTAAGTTGCAGCATCCTTTTTTAACTTAGTTACGGTGAAGCGGGAATTTTTCAACAGAAATGCATTACTATCTTAAAAGTCTTTGGGCCAATCATACTACTGTGAAGTTCAAAATATATACCATCATAAAACCTGTTGCCAAGCTAGAAACTCTAAGATTTTCTTTTTGTTACGCTCTTTATGTCTTTTTATTTCGCAACAAATCTTTTTGTATATCATCTAAGTAAAAATTTGAAAAAATATTTTTAAGCAGATCTCTATTCCCGTATCTTTGATAGGTGTCGCTTTCGGATGCTCTGTGCTTACAATGAAACCAGTAAGAGTATCAGAACTATCGGTAAATTTGATTCTGGTACATGTCTAAATTGTACATAAACCATATAATTTGTTTACCCTTCTTTCCTCAATTTAGAAAACAATTTTTACAATATGTTATGTAAGCCAACAAATAATATAGAACTTGCTTGCAAAATTTTTTACTCTTGGAATTAGTCTGTGTTTAGAGGTGCTCCGGAAGAAAGAGGATTCAGAGAGAAAATTTTCCTTACTTTTTATACCTATATGGTGCTCATGGCTGACTGCCAACTCGTTTATATATCTTATAAAATTGTATTTAGTGCACATAAAAATAGTATTTCTGAGCTTTTAGTTGTATTTACTGACCATTGTCATAAAGTAATCTGGTACTGAATAAAACTTTTAGAAGGTACGAGTAGATTGTACAGTCTGAGTTCATGATTAATGAGACATTAATTAAGGATGAATAAGGAAAATACTTTTTAATATTATGATGTTTGTAAAATAAATGAAATCAGATAGAAAACCGCCAATGGCCATACTGACTTTCGAATATAAGATGAATAATTCTAATAAATGTTTTTTAAACGTTCAGTTTTTTGCTGTTCATCTTTTACAATATGAAATAAAGATAATTAAAAATTTTTAAATCATTTTTGAAAAATCGATCAAACAAAAACGTGGTCACCATAGTAGATATTGAGATCAATTGAGATGTAAACTGGTACACTCAAATCTTAACCTCGATCCTATGGGACGAATATGGAGACTCGAGCATACACATTTGTTTTACCTTTTCCTTACTGATCTATCAGCAAAAGAATTTTTTTTAGATGATCTCCGTTCATTTATTCTATTTATATCATTTACAGAACGATCACTTTTTAATTAAGGAACATGTACACTAATAATTGGTGAGATTCATAATAACTTCTGAATTTGTCTGTGCTCGTGTAAAGACTAGAGTATGTGTCACATCTATGACTATAATGATGACTCTGTGATGCTTCTATATACAGGCCGATGCAACTTTTATATAAGAAACTTTCTTATACGTACAATAATATTCTTCCGAAAATAGAACACGATAGATAAATATATGCGGGTAAAGAAGAAGAAGAAAATGCATATTTTTCTAGTATAATAGTAACGACAAAGCCAAGTAGCAAGAAAATCATGCTGAAAGTATGTTATATGAATGTATTTGAAAATCATCTGCATAGTCTAACAACATTGTTGAATGAACATGGTGAATCTCTGGAAATATATCAGACACATGTCGGATCCGTAGGAAGTTGGGCATGGGAAGCAGGAATTGCCTTATGCTTTTATTTATATGATCATATGTTCCACGAGATGAAAGATAGACATATTATTGAAATTGGAGCTGGTACGGGTCTCGTAGGATTACAAGTGTGTGCTCTTGGTGCGCATACGACATTAACAGATCGTGAAGAATACGTTGATTTAATGAATTATAACATTAATAAAAATCGTCATCTGTTAACGGGGACAGTGGAAGCTCAAATGCTCTTCTGGGGCGACGCAAGATTAAACGAAAAAGAATATGACTATATCATTGCTGCCAATTGTGTTTATCATAGTATAGATCTAGATTCGCTAATTCAAACAATCTGTCAGCTCACTACGACGAATAAAACACAACTAATTTGCTGTTATGAACTGAGAAACGATGGTATTCGACAACTAGTTAATGAATTTCATGAAAAATTAAAGCAAGACAAATTTCATATTGAATACGTTGAACATGAAATGTTAAGAAAAGATTATCAAAACGATTATAATTGTATTGTCAAATGTAAACGACTTTAATTTTTAATCAGTCTTTTATTTATCTTATGTATTGCTGTAAAAACAAATTTATTTGTAAACAAGAATTTCTTAACGCTTAAATAACATCATGCTGTTCTGTTAAAGTGAATATCGTCTCTATTCCATAGATCGTTGCTGAAAAGATGAATATACGCACTTTTCAGTCTAACGTACCAGTAGATCGATGATGCCTTAAAACAAAAATGGTATGAAATTCACATTATACAGCACCATAAGGGTAATTTCTTCATTCTTACTTCTGAACTAGATAACAAAAACATCTATTATATTGACAAAGACCAAAAGTCAATTTTTCTAGTAACTTAGATGACCTGTCAGGGTCAATGTTTTTGAGAAGTACACAACAGGTCTGGCTGGAACTTGCAGAAGATTTGGATCATGTCAATTCGTTCTGTTAGATTGACTTGTTGCATTAAAGAGCACTATGTGGTGTTATTTGTTATGAACGACAGATTACATTTAAAAAGATAAACATACATTCTATCTTTGTTTGACAAAAGCCTCTTTAGGACTCTTTCACAAAAAACAATTTAGCACACGTCAGAAATTTACAGTGAAATCACACTGTTCTGATCCTAACAAGAAAAAAAAATCTAAAAAAAATATCTTACCAAGTAGAAGTCACTGTAGGACACACACACGCTTAACAAAATATAAATTAACAAAAAGAAATAGTTACACCAAATGAGCACCAGAACAAAATGAGAAGCTGTATAAGAAACATCTGACGTACTGTTTATTTCATTGTTTCAACTATGTATTATTATCATCACACGCATCTTTATATTCTACAACAGGTGCTATTCGAATGCCTTGTTTCAACAAATCTGTTGACACGGTTCTCATACCACCACCATGATATTGTGAATTGGTCTGATAGCTTTGAGCTGACTTTAATTCATAACGTTGTGTTTTACCATTATGTTGTTTCAGATGATCCATTAGTTCATCGGTTGTTCGTTTATGTGTCACACGAATGAAACGTTGTTGTTTTTGACCGTATGACGTTGAATGTAAATGTAATTTCATCGCTTCTTTATGTATCATTTTTCGTTCTTCATTATTGAATTGATTTTCAAATATTAGTTCTTGATCGTCGTTGTTTTGTTGAATATATTCTTCTAAACTACGTCGAAGATTTCGAATAAATATATTATTTGGAAATAAATGATTTGAACCTAAACCTTTGCGACCATGTAAATCTTCAATTTGAATCGGTTCAGCTATACCTGCAGAGAAAAAGCAACGTAAACATGGTTAGAAATGATGACGACATTATCAGAAGGTTTTAAAGGATTCCTTATTAGTAACTAACTCCTTTAGTCCATTTTCGAACAATTTGATGGACCGTACGGTTAGCCTTTTTCTTTACAGAATTACAGAATTAGTCACTTGGGTAAAAAATACTGCACGTTTCGCTTATCGAATCTGCTGTGTATTCTACATACACTTCTCAATAGATATTTTAACTTTTTTATCAATGTTTTCTTCTCATGTAGTCAGATTAACAAGAAAACAACTAAGTTTAATCTTCGTCTGTTTTACCTTGCCCTTGTTTTCCAAGTCCTCCCGTCCCTGTCCATCCCATTTTTTTCATAAGTTTTGTTGCAATATCTTCTTTTTCTACAATAACATTTTCATTCGTTTGATGCTGGTTATTATTGTTGTTCGTTATTATTGATTCTTCTGCTTGTTCATATAAATGTGCTCGTGTTATGCGTCTTACATTACCCAATATCACATACGTTCCACCGTCCTCAATCATATGCTCAACAGATTTCATTTTGATACATGGAAAGATTGTTTTTAATAATTCACACAATTTCATAGCACCCGTTTGCTTTGTACAATTTTTATTACTATTTCCCAACATTGACATGAGAAAATGATCATCTATATAAAATGTTACCAAATAACCTTTGGGAATATGTTGAATATCATGTTTTAGTTCTAGACGATTTTTAGACATTGATACAAATAACATTGATACATAGGAACCGGGCATGTTTGATTGAAAATCAAGTGGTTCAAAGAGAACAAATGTTGATGGTATTAGACTGTGAATATTAGATAATATTTCATTATCGGGTGTTGTTACACATTTTGACGAATCAAATGATGATTGAACAATAGGAGCAGCTGCTTCTTCCTCATTTATTCGCCTAAACATAAATAAAACTTATCTCACCTACAAATTTATAGAAGGAAAGAGAATCAAAAAAAGCATCACAAAATAGTATATCATACCTGGACCGTGATCCAAAAGATTGTGCACTGCTATAATTATTGTTACTCATTGGTGGTGGAATACACGTACCGCCAGATTTTGCTTGATGATATTCTTGAGCACGTTCATAGCGTGAATCTCCTCCTGTTGACTGATTACAATCTCTGTCACTATCACGATATAACATTGATCGTCGTGATGGCGGTGGACATTTTAGCAAACCTTGATCATCATCACATGAAATCAATGTCCATTGTTGTTTATTTCTTAGTTCTAATGAAAATGATTTTGATTTTGAGATTAGTTTGAGAGCATTTGAGTATGTTTGTTTTTTCGCCAACTTTTTATTGATACCGTAACCATCTGAAATATAAATTTGTTCAACAACTAAATAACCATGAAAACCTTGTGTTGACGATGGTTTATCGGGACATTCAAAATCCGACTGCAAGTGATATTTGTTAATTTGAGAAGAAATTAAATCGATCGAATGTGCTGGATCGGCAAGAGAATTTAACAAACTAAATAGAAATGGTTGCAGTTTGATTAATTTTGTGCGTTGTTGAGAAACAGATAATGTATCAGATAATAGATGGTGTTCCTCTAGAATAATTGATGATGTTTTAACTCGATTTGCAGTAATTGGAGCGTTGAAAATCTAAACATATAATGAGAGAATTATGAACAATCTAACATTCTCACATTTCTTAGAAAAATATCAACTACTAGCATGACTACTTACTATTTCCGATTGTTGTGATGGCTGTTGTCTGGGAATTGGATCAATAATATTTTCATCCTTTTTTAGTGTGTGATAAACTGGTGGTAAATGTGGAATGGGCGGTGGTGGAGACCTTGAACGTTGAACTAGTTTTGACCTAATTGACGTGGGTCGTTCTTCACCAGGATGATCACGTTGCCAATATTGTTGTTCTAATCTTAATTGTTCATAAGCTGTTCTCTCCGCTATTGTCGATGTATCTTTTGCTTCGACAAAATTCATATGTGGCATTCTCATTCCACCTACAAAACTCTCATTTCCATCGAATTCATTTAAATCTTTCACAACTAAATCATACTGTGCTTGTTTGTCTTTACCATTAATTAATGATTTGACTTCATAATCATGATCTACGAGATAATCGTGGGCTCTCAAAAAACAATCTCGCTTACATTGTCTTTTACTTGAACCTTGACCAGAACAAATATATACTTCGTCAATGTATAATTTTCCACGAAATGTTTGAGTTGTAAATGTACGAGCCGACGTTGTTTGATTTGTTGAATGAGAAAATGAGTCATCTGGACGATAGTCGATAAATAAACGGTGTTTATTACCAATTTTATAGATATGATCAATTGTAGGATCATTTTCATCTGTGTAAGTTATGGTGCTCGCATTTGCCGAATGTTCAAGTTCGTTTTTCAGTTCTTGAGTTAACATTTGTAATTTTTTCATTTTTACTTCATTTGTATCGAAAACTAACGATGATTTTTTTGTGGCAGGTACTGGATACTTGATAATTGAATTTGTAGCTCTGGTCGATGATGCAAAAGTATCTGATGTCTTTTGGAGTGGTAATGA